AACCTGTCAGTATAGTCTGAGCTATCCCGATCTGTTTAACAGCCAAAACAACTTTAGATCAGAATAAACACACACAGCAATTAAAAAAAAATGCTCTCCAATTTTTTTTTACCCAGGAGGGAAAGGAAGAAAGAACAACGCTACATGGCATCACATCCCAGAACACTGTAATTGCATTATTAATCACTCTGAGAACCTCAGATCTCATACAGCGAAAGAAACAGGTTAGGAAATGCATGCACAGAACAATTTGGGATGATCACTTTGAATGACCTGAAAAACTACAGTACGCATAGAAAAATTCATTGGGCATGAAGTTTGTATTTATGTTTTTTTAGAACTTTTACTTAAAGCATTTGGTTTTGTATACTGTGACACCATATAGTCCTGTAGATGGATACAAGTTTTTCAAAGGAATATGCTGCCTTCATCTTCAGCGTTGAAGTACATAGGGTGAGCAATTGGTTGGATTATTAACTAGCCCAAGGAAGGTAGTCATTGAAACCCAGTGAAGGGAGTGAGAATGAAGCCTGAAATGGGCAATCTGAACAATCACCACTATAAGAACCTCACAACTCACATGCAATCATTTCATCTGTATTTTTCCTTGGCACTACAGCCCCAGTGGGCCTAGGCCTACCTCCATGAACTTCTCCATTCACTTCGGTTTTTCTTGATCTTACACATTTGGTAGGACTCCTTGGGCGAGCGATCAGCTTGTCGCAAGGCATATACCTGTAGACAAACACAGAAAAACGCACACAAACATCCATGCCCTGAGTGGGATTCGAACCCACGATCCCAGCTTCTGAGCGAGCGAAGACTGCTCGGATACCATGACCGGCATTTCATCTGTATACTAAGATAAAATATTTTTATTGTGCAATTTTGATTAGCTTGAGAAAAAGCAATCCAATATGCTATGTTTTCAGGAAATACTTTTTTAACATGGTTAATCCAATGCACAGCCCAGCCTCATGTTATAAACTTTCTACATACAATGTAAGTATTAACAGAGATATCAAAGCTAGTAATGGAGTTCATTTAAATTTTCTCCAGTCTTGCTTCCTACCAAAAAATCACTGACATATGTAATATTCAAATTATAAAGTAGAAAGGAGGGAGGGACGAACATGTAGTAGTGTGTCAATGTAAAGATATACAAATCACAGAAGGCAAGCATATTTTGCACTACGAAAACTGACAGTATATCAAATGTCTAGTGGTACCAAACTATCAGTGCATCTTTGGATTTTATTTGAAGAAATAAGGGTGCAAGCATAAAATAAATGTAAAAGAGAGAACAAGTTCTTTCACTGACTCAGACTACATTATGTGAAATGTCTTAAATCATCCTCTAGGCCATAAGTATACTAAGCACTTTTATTTATTTTTTTGTTTCAATGTTCATATTTTCCAAATATATAAATGCACACTTCCTATCAAAACACATCTGATATACTAAACCAACTCAGTATCAAAATGTGCTACTGGCACCCATTGCTACTTCTGAAACCCTATGTAAAACTTTTATACATTTCTTGTTAGAATGCAGGAAGAAGCAAACCGTATTTTCGGATCAAAACTTTCTTCAGAGATTGGTTAAACAAGCTGAATAATACCATCAACAGACATGTTCAGAATACCTTAAAATAGGCAATGACCACTTCCTTCAAGTGTATTTCAAAATTTTCTGCAGCTCACAGAACAGTACATAACTGATGCTGCAGTCAATACACCATGGAATAACTTGAGAAGTAATAAGTTAATCAAGAATACCAATACAGACCAAAAACACATTATAAGCTGAAGTTGCACTTTTCCCCATTTTTTCTAAATACACGTTCACAATGATTAATGCAATCGCATTAACGATGTTTGCTGCATTCTGGTAACCAATAAAATGTACAGTTGGACAACCTGACTTGCATATACAAAATTATTTTATTTAATGCAGGTACAGATTTTAATTTTATATACAGATCAGCTAGCACAGTGTGTGAATTTATTTTTGACAAAGTGCTGTTCTTCATAAATTGGCAATACTCCTTAAATTGCACACCATGCAGAGTTCTTATGTAAATGTGTACAAATTATCACTACATATAATGTTAAACTTAAATATATTAAATATTAACATGATTCCAAATATAAATTTCCACTATCACTTGTGAAAATTTTTTAACGTTCTCAACACAACAGATATGCATGCAGCAGACGCCATTTCCTACATCAGTTTAACAATTTCTAATTATTAGAAACATACCAGAAATTAAGTTCTTGTTACACACTGAGTTCTATAAACTAAACATATGATATGTATAAAACTAAATACAACTGACCATGAAGACTTATTAAAATAAAGATAGTTCTACAGTTTTGAAATGATGCTTCACTGTAAGCTTTCACCTGCTAATTAATATAACTGTGCGCTTACTGTAACAACTTGTTCACACTAGTCACAATAATAGTTTTGAAGCACTGGTGCACAGAATTTTAAATGGATGGATTATTGCACACTATACAAATCAATCACAATAGTCCAGGTTGCATAGCTGGCTTGAGTGGCAGTGTACTGAATCTTTGGACTCCATACATTATGTTACCAACAGCAGAGCTAAGAGATGATTGCAGGGCCAATTTTAGAACAATTCAACAAGTTCAATTAATTCTATTATATTTGTCATCCAAATACTCAAGTCTCGCCTTACTGGAACAAGCTAGAGGCTGAAAAAATTGTGTGACCTCAAAATGACGACAAGACATGAAGGCAGTCTTACTGATAATGCTATTGCTGCTTCTAATGTTGAACATGGGTACATTATTTTCAATTGTAACTGTTCAATGCAACTACCTACCTATCTCTAGTTGATGAAGGGTTACGTAATCATACATTCCTCAATGTAACATTTGAGCTTCTCATGGATGTGACTATGAAGAATGTTGTCTTCTGGGTATGACACCTTGTAGATATTGTGTAAACCAACATTTCGGAGAAACGTTCATTTACACAGTATCTACATAGTGCCACATCCCAGAAGATGGCATTCTTCACATAATATTCAAATTAAATATATAATATACTGACAAAAAATTATTCATCTACACAGATCATAATTAATATCCATACTTGCATAATTAATGATATTCATGTGCTATTAAAAGTGCATGCTAAATTCATGATCAGTAGTGGGAGAAGACAAATGTATTCAATTTCTTCAGACAGTGTAACATAAATGATAGCCACATTTATGGCTCATAATTTACTATGGTTTTTGTTTAATCATGAACACTCCAATAATGGTCAATTTTGCATAAGTTTCAACTCTCAGAATAAAACATCAGTATATAGGAACAACCCTGCCTCTGCTGAGAAAAGTACCAAAAGTACTGTAAATTGCCAATAATAAAATGATCAAATACACAAATATACAAGCCAGCTAGCTGAAAACCTTTTAAAGCTGAAAATGCCATTTCATCTGGCACCTAACTTTCAACATACTAAGAAACTACAATTATCAGAGATCCACAGTCTATCTTCTTTTACATATAACCTCTAAACTTTCCATATCATAATACTATACATCATCCCTTTAAAAACAGAAACTCGTTTACAAAACTGGTTCACCAAGACAACATAGAATTATCTTGAAGATGCTAATACAGATACTGCTGTCAAAAGCAAGCTTCAGTTATTTTTGCCCTGACTGTTGCTACTTGAAGAGATGAATGAGACTGGTCTTGGCATGTGAGCTTAATGTTCTTCCAAAATTCAAAATCATCCCCATCAACTGCTTAAGTTTTATATTACATCATTACAAAATTTCAAGACTAATTATTTAATTAATCTTGTAAATCAGATTAATGAAATGCAATAAAACTACACATAAAACTAACTCAGAACACAATATTTATTCCTCGAAAAGTGTCTATACAATTTTTTAAAAACCTGATGCATTACTATACATATTTCACCTTAAATGGTCATCATCCTAAGGGTACCCACATATATTCCTGATCTATAGAATGCAATATTACATGTATTTTTATTTTAAAAGGCTTGAATAGACAGTTTTATAGAATAAATATAGTGACTGAATACACAATATAAGAAAACTGTAAGTATTGGCACTCTATATTTGCTGATATTCATGTATGCAATTAAGTGAAGAAAAAGGATGGCATTTAATAAGTAATGCTCTATATTCCTACCTCTACCATAATTCTGTACTTTTCCTCAAACAAAATCATTTGTTACATTTTATGTGACCCTCTATTCTATAATTTAATTTAAAATTCAATTAATTATAATTATGACCTCAGCACACCATTTAATTAGTCCTGAATACTCATTTATCCCTTCAAAGTATATATATTTCATCAGCTTTTAAAAATTACTGAAGTACATGAAGTAGTTACTGCATAAAAACCTTAATTATCCCCACCATATACTGACCGCTTTCCAGGTTTCTGAATTAATTAAAGTTAGCTGCTAAACATCCAAAATCAGTGTCAAACTAAATTAATACAATACAGATGAAACATTCTAATTTCATGTTTGTATCATTCAACATGAAATGATACATGTATCACAAATTTCCATGCATTTATAGATCATGTTGTATTCACATCTTGATATTACTTCTTAATATTATGTATAAAAATCAAATCAGCACATTTCCAGTTAAGGTATCCTAAGTATTTTGACAAAGCTGTGGTCCAGGATCAACACAACTGTCTTAAAATGGACAACTAGAATATATAGGGTAGACTGATGAAGATCTAGATAGATCAGGTCAAGGAGAATGAGATGGGCAGGGCATATAGCACAAATGGAAAAGGGGAATGCATGTAGGATTTTCATGGGAAAACGAGAAGGATATAGACAACTAGGAAGATCAAGATGTAGGTGGGGTGGTATGGACTGGACCGATCAGGATCAGGATAGGGACCAGAGGGCTCTTGTAAACATGGTAATGAACTATGGGTTCCATGAAATGTTGAGAAATTCTTGAGTAGCTGCAAAACTGCCAGCTTCTCAAGAACGGCTCAACTCCATGGAGTCAGACTGATATAGGAAAAGCTTAAAGTGCTCTCACAATTTTCTCAACGAAATTAAGATTTTATATGTTGCTTTATTATATGATTATTCATACCACTGAACTATATATCACTTTTATGTGCTATGTGTTAAGCAATGAAAAACATGGTAAAATTTTCCTGTCATAAAACCAGTTTACAGTTAAGTTTCTGTTCTTGGATATTTGGCCCCCTGCAGTATGGTAGTAAGTACCCACCATCTGCAGGAACCTGCTGCCTTGCCTCATCTTCAAGGTAGAGGTAGTCTGTATCTTAATATGCACCTAAAATCCTGTAGGTTCCTGCTGTGACTGAAGAGAATTTAATATATTTCAATGTCAAATCGTGTGCTTGTGCAGAGGGAATTAAAATATCCAACTCAGCCAAATGAATCACTTCACTAACTTCTATCTGGAGACATAAACTAAATATTCACAGACCAGTTTCCATAAGGTAAAGTAGTAGTACTATGCTATGGAAAGTGATCCATAACTGTAGAGGACCTTGACTTTGAATGTTTAACTGCTAGTTTCAGAATAGCATTCTCACCTAAAAGCAATCTACATAATAGATTTCCTGCTTGCTCAGGGACTGCATCTGAATTATGTCATTTTCATGTAGGCAGTGGGGATGTTCTTAATTACAACTACCATAAAGATAATCACTGATGTACCAAATAGTGTATAAAACTATAATCATTATTGCAGTACCTTCCTGTCGCATTATATCTCCTTTAGGGGAACTGACTATTATATATATATTTATTTATGCACCTGGTCACTTTCCAAGGTATCCTCTATGCAAACCTTGCTACACGAACGAAATTTAAAAAACTTGGTGCTCCACATTAAAACCATAGCCACCAACATATTAATTTTCATAATATACTTGACAAAAGATACCTAATGAATGTATGACTCCTCTAAATAAGTTGGAGAAGCAAATTTAGCCCAAAATGCAGCAAAGGAACTAAAGGTATGCAAGAAGCTGGCACCAATAAAGATTATATTAATCATAATTCATATTCACCATTCTATACAAAGGACCTTGTCTTCGCTTACATATACACACAAATTCCAACAGTTCCCATCCAATTTATTCCTCCTCCGAAGGGAAATCTACAACTCTTACACAACACAAAACATGATGCACTTTGAAATCAGTCAACAGATGTGAGGTATTCTAAGAAACCATAAAAAATATTTGAAGAAACACATACCTACCTTCATTGTCAAGAGTATATCTACACATTTAAGCTGAAAATGTAAAAGGTCTTGAACGTTAACTGAGTGATTTTGGTTGGCCTAAGCCATGTCATAACACAAACCTATGGTATGAAACTGAGAACTACAAACTTATAATTCATATAACCTTTCAAGATTGATCTCCATGAAGCGCTGAACTGAAGCTGATCATACTGTGACATAAAAACTTACATTTGGGCCCCTAAAATGTGTTAACTCCATAATGAACATGCTTGTTATCATACAGGTTCTTGAATAAGTGGAAGGAAATCCCTGAAGAGAGCTGCTGACAAAAATACAGACAAATAAGAAGAGTTCAAGACTATTCCTCCATAGAAGTACTGTCATTACTGAAATGAAATCTGGTAAAATATGGAAAAAGCAAAAAGTTACAACTGATGATAAGCAAGACTACTGAAAAACTGTGCTGCTCACAGAGAATGCTATAGTCAATGATCATAATCTGAAAATGATACCTAATTCCTGCTGCTCGTTCTCTGACCAAAGTCATTTGAATGGTAGCAGATGTAAGCCCAAATGTCCATTGTATCATATACGGTTCGTTTATAAATAGTTCGTTTGAATTTTGGACACCTATAATGTCATCACACTGTTTTAATATTGCTATTGGCAATGTGCAAAACTATAATTATCAACACTTTATGTACTTCTTACCTTGTCAGGCACCTTCAGTACATCGAAGTATATAAATTCACTATTTTTCTTTATATCTTACATTTTTTAAACTCAATATCATCACTGACGCCATTTATACTGAGCAACATAGATTTCAACATATAATGACCTTTATTATATTTCCATTCTTTTCCCAGAATTCTGCAAATTCATTCACTGCATCAATCACGCAGAGGTTCAATTAATAATATAATTATGTTCTTAAACACATAATTTTTCTTTAAAAAACTGTCCATCACATTATGATGTGTCACTTCACACTGATTTTCGATGACGGATGAATAAGGCTGCATGAATTCAGAAACTGCAGTTATCAACAAGATCTTCACAGTATAGAGATTCATTCACCGATGACTTGTCTACCTTACCAAACATAAGCTGACACATCACCATTCAGCTGAAGACATACTGTACATTACCCATAAGCAAAGTCAAAAATTCATTTCTGATAACCAACATTATGTGAAATTTTAAATTAACTAATATTGTTCTATTGTCAAAGCTGCCAATATTGCACATTGAACAACAAACAATGGACATCCTCCATTTACTGAAAACAATCAAATTGCTGGGGAGAGTATGGAGCAATACAGAATACAACAATGTGCTGTGTTACTGGTATGTAACAGTCACCTACTTTGTATAGTTTTAGATCCATAAAACTGAAAGAATCCATGTTAAGAACAGAAGTTTTCTGAATGCAGCCCATTAAGGGTTGATTGATGAAATTAAAGCTGCCTCAGTGTGCATTATTGGTGCTCACTGAACTGAACTCAGTCTCTGGGGTTGCGAGCATGCTTCCTGTTTCCAGTGCTACCTTGGAGCACCCTTGCCTGCTGCTACCTTCGTGGGATCAATCCATTGGAAGAAGCAGGCACTGTAGAGGTCATTTCCAATTCTACCAGGAGGGGGAAATGATCTGCAATGTAAACACAGCTCACCTCAATAATATGCATACTTATTTACTTATATCTGTACTCTTACAGTACAAGACCTAATATGTCTAGTGATACCATTGGCATAAAATAAAATACCAACTCTGCAAGCTACAACCTAAGAATCTGTGACAATGGTACATTAATATGTAGGTAAGACAATATGTAAGTTACAAATGGATATAGAACTTAAACAAATAAGAGTACTGATTTGAAAAATGCTTTTATTTCTCAACATAATCTCGCTGTACATTGAGGCACTTGTCCCATCGTTTCACAAGCCCCTGAAAACCAGCAGCAAAAAATTCTTTGGGCTGCTGTTGGAACCAGGCGGTGACTAGGATCACAAAGGCATACTGCTCACTGCATTCCAGCCTCAAGGACAAACCGTAAATGACAATTCCTACTGTAACATCCTTGGGAAACTTCGTAAGGTCATTCAACGGAAGCGACCAGGACTCCTCACCAAAGGCGTGTTGCTCTTGAATGACGTGCGTCCCCATACTGCAAACAAGACAAATGAGACGCTGTGAAATTTCAAGTTGGAAGTCCTCGAGCATCCTCCGTATAGCCCTGGCCTTGCTCCAAGTGACATCCATTTGTTCGGCCCTCTTAAACTTCATCTTTCGGCTGAACATTTTCCCGACGATGAAGCTGTAGAAAGGGAAGTCACCGCCTGGATCCGACAGCAGCCCAAAGAATTTTATGCCACTGGTTTTCAGGGGCTTGCGAAACGATGGGATAAGTGCCTGAATGTAAAGGGAGATTATGTTGAGAAATAAAAACATTTTTCAAATCAGTACATTTTTTTTAAGATCTATATCCATTTGTAACTTACTTATTGACTCACCCTCGTACAATTATTGTGTTTCTGGACATTATCAATCATCGTGTTTTCATTTAAAATATACAATATTTCAGAGACTGGATTCTGTCTCTGTCTTCAAGTGAAAACCACTCAGTTGGGCTGGTGTTGGTGTCTGGAGATATAAGCTAGCTCTATCAACTGAGCCCAAATGAGTAGGTTTTACTTGAAGATGGAGACAGAATCCAATCTCTGAAACACTGTGTTTTAAACAGAAACAGGATGATTGATAATGTCCAGAAACACAATCACTGTGTCTAAGAGCTTCATCTATGTGACTTCAGTCTATAGAAGGCATTTTATTATTGTGAAAGACTGCAAATGCTGAAGAGTGAGCTGGCTTACCTGATGGCACATGCGGATGTGGACACCCTACCACTTTGTTCTCCCTAAGCCACTCAGGAGCTAATGGTCCAAGCAAACCCAAAGGAGTCATGCTCTGTTTTGAGTAGAAGATGTAATCAATAATACCCTTAAAATCAAATCTGCAAACAGAAATTGTATTTCCATTAATATACAGTACATGACCACTCTTTCAGCAGGGTATAACCAACAAGCATTATAATCCAAAGTAAAAACTGCAGATTAAAGAAATAAATACAAGAGCATCCAAAGAATCTAAAGGATACAATGCCATGTGGACAAGTACCAGTCTTTGAGAGGAACCTGATGCTTCCAGCAACAGTGTACTCTGAAGATGGGGCAGGAGGTTCCTTTGAAATGATACCTATATACCAGCAGGTTGTAATTTTAATATTCACTTCCATGTAAACCTCAAACTTCATACATACGTGTAATTGGTGAATGGCATTATGTCTTCACTGTATGCTGAGGCCAGCTTGAAGGAATGTGTGAATTCATTTGGTTTATCACAGCCTGAGATCTTTTGCAGGCAAGACTTGTAGGCAAGGGACTTGAAGTCTTTATGGTCTGCAGGTACACGTCCTGATGTCAGGAATTCAATCACTCCTACATATACAGAAATTATATTTATATATTGATTCACTCTGGCCAATGAAAAACATGCCAAAGTAAATGGTAGAAGGTTTGTAAAACACAAATCCATCTGTGAGCAGAGAAGCCTCATAACAGCATGCGAGTATGTGACCCGTAAGAAAACATTACGCTTAAACTGAAGGACTTGTAACAACAAGATACACTAATCTGATTATGTAATTCAGGTCAACATAGTACATAAAATGATGTGAATATTACGATGCATATACTACTGAAACAAAGGTCTGATTTCTCATTTTTCCATCATATTTTCAATTTCAAATGAGAGAAATTACAGAAAAAATTCTACTGTACCATGCTGTAAAACAGCAGCTCTAACAGCTGCCTAATGTACTGAACAGAACACTTGAGAGAACCTGAGAGCAAACTGAATGATAGCAGCAGGCAGAGCTGATACATGGAAATAACAAGTCTGCAACAGAATTCACTGCACAACTTACCTGAATCAGGTAATGAGTTGAAATCTCCACATAACAATAACTGGATATTATTTGTGTCGGGTTTGTGCCCTGGACGAAAACTGTGACTCGCATCTTCTAAAATACTGCGTAGCTCATTGGACAGCATCATGGTCTGGATTAACTTGACATCACAGAACTCTGGATCCCAATGAATATGAGCAGTGCATACCAGAATGGGCTGGTGCACTTGACTCACATCTGGTGGCAGTCCTGGCACAAGGTTCCAACAAATGTCTTTAAAAATCATCAGTATCTACAGAAAGGGTACGCCTTTAATGGCTTGGACTTCCTGCATTCCTCACAGCCCTCAAGATTAGTCTTGTACTGTAGATGCCATTAAACCTTTCAGCTTTTTAACATACTACTTTCAATAATTGAAAGGAGGAGGCCACATAAAATGAGCTTGAGCTGACATCATCATAACTTAATGTAGAGTCCTTAAGTTTTTTATGGTAATAGATGTTTAAAAAATATACACCCTTTTTAGCCATGAAGATGGATACAATATGGGCACATCTCTTTTCCTCCAGTCTTCTTAACCTGTTCTGTTCCACTGAACAATACCATGACACATACACACTATCCTTACTCCCATTCTGAAACCTGTATGTTGGTCTATTTATCCTTCCTTCATCTTGAATACGGTGAATACAATGCATGCCAAAACAATGGAACGGCTTGAACACGATGAGGATAAACCCCCAAAACTGACACTGAACACTACAGCCTTGTTTAGGAGCTTCCAGATTAAATCCTCTTCTAGCGTTTGGTCACATTTTTCTGTGCACAGATACTAACTCCATAACCCTATATCACCTTAGATTAAATGAGTGCTGAGATGCTTAACTCAAGTGGAAGATACATCTTCACTGAGCAAGTAATAATTTTGAACACTGGTCTTACAGAACATGAGTACTTCTGTCAACTAAAGTCACTTCTGGACCTTATCCTGAGCCAACCCAACTTAGTTCACACCTCCATAAACTACTTCTGTAGGACCTTTCATTCCAACTGTGCTGAAGTCTCCCATGTGCTCTCTTTCATTGACATTTCCAAACCAAAATGTTGCATGCATTTTGCATTATTCACGAATGCTGCTGTCCAACCCTTTCTATACTACAGATGTACATGTACAGTCCTTCACAGATTAGGTTTCGTTATGTCATAACATAAGTTGTTAGGCTGTTAGACCAAACTACCCTACCCCCAATAAAAATTCATCATAGAAAGCGTTAATTCAATCACCCTAACAATTTAAACTGGAAAGAATAAACTGTGGAGCTCCTCTACATGCAATACCTTCAGATCTACTGTTATGTCATCTCTTTTAGGTAAATCTATTCTACTCTGCACTTCACTCTCAAATATCCTCAGTGTACATTTGGATTATTCTTTGCCCATTAACAAAGTTTTTTTTTAAATCATCTTTTGGAAAAGGCTCTATTTCCATCTTCAGTAATACAAAATCTTCTTTGATGAGTCCTTAAGTACAGGCTTTTTCAAGCCATGGATCTAGCTCTACCGAGAGGCACAACAAAGTAGTTTTGTTCACCCAGAGTCAGAAAAAGAACCAACTTCCAAAACAAAGTGGTTTAAAGAACTTGCCCAACAGATTATGTCTTACAAAGTGGATAATTTTCAGTCCAGTGTGACATACAAGGTTACAACACTTCAGTCTTTATTCATAGCTTAAGTGCATATTGTTAAAACATCTTATGTTACAGTGTTCCCTGATCGCAGTGGTGCGCCTCCGAGGATGAGTCTGTTGAATCGAAACATGTAAGGTGAATAAAGACTGAAGTGTTGTAACCTTGTACGTCACACTGGACTGAAAATTATCCACTTTGTAATTATCAGTGTGACGGACCAGAATGAGACAAATCAAATTAGATTAAGTCTTATTCACTGTGTCACATCATCAAAAAACTTCAAAACTTCCACTTCTGAATAAGTTATATAAACTGTCAATAACAGTTCTAGAAATGATCAGTTTGGTATTACCAAAGATAGCTGCGCCTTATAAGACAAATATTCACGTAAATGGACATAAATCTGCAGACCTTGCTAAGACTGAAGTGTTGTAACCTTGTATGTCACACTGGACTGAAAAGTATCCACTTTGTAATTATCAGTGTGACGGACCAGAATGAGACAAATCAAATTAGATTAAGTCTTATTCACTGTGTCACATCATCAAAAAACTTCAAAACTTCCACTTCTGAATAAGTTATATAAACTGTCAATAACAGTTCTAGAAATGATCAGTTTGGTATTACCAAAGATAGCTGCGCCTTATAAGACAAATATTCACGTAAATGGACATAAATCTGCAGACCTTGCTAACTGCATCACTGATCCTGTTAATGAGTAAAACCAAGAATTGCACATTTACGTCTCCCTTCTCATGTTCTTTTCTACAGTAACTAAAAATCAGTTACAATACCCATTTGGAAGTTGTCATACAATACTAGAAGTTTCATATGGTATTCAGTCAAGCACATTGTTACTAATGTTATATTTTAGCGTCCTGTTGCACTGATTTAAGTCCATGATTTATTTTATCCGTCTTCTAGTGCATACATTCATCTATCCCCTCTTCTCACTCTCACTACATGTTTCGGCACAAATGTGCCATCTTCAGGTGCTGATAAAATTTTAGTATGTATAGACAAGGCATGCAATGAACTAGTTTGTCGTGGATTGGATCAGCACCTGAAGATGGCACATTTGTGCCGAAACATGTAGTGAGAGTGAGAAGAGGGGATAGATGAATGTATGCACTAGAAGACGGAAAAAATAAATCATGCACATTGTTACTGTTACCAAGATATGATTCACTAACAGATATTAGTAGCACTTCAGATGAAAAGCCCTCCAATATTCTGGTAACAAATTATGAAGTTATTTTCTTTCTGGTCTATAAGCTATTCTTATCATTACTATCATGAAAAATAGGTATTGCTTTTATGAGCCTTCCACAAATTACAGTACTGACTTTAAATCTAAGGAATGGTTATTACAGACACCAAAAACTACTGGAATAACTCTGTTATTTTCATCATCTGATACATTCTATTATGGTGACATGGAGTCACAAGATCTGGCCTCATACTAAGTAAGAGCAAGCGACTACATTTTTACAATAACAATGTATAAGTCTACTGCACACAGAATCCAAAATAAATATTATAGTAGTAAAGTACATAGAAAACAGAGAGGCCAATGACATTTGATTATCAATAACTATGGATTACACATCACAAGGTAGTACACATTTTCATACAATACACCATATGACAGAAACTATGTATCAAAGAACTGCTGTAATACTTTAAAGACAAAACGAATTATCTCTTTCTCAAGTACATATGACAATAACAAAAGAATGAATAATGATATCTGTTTTCAAAACACAACAGCAAGAGCAAATGCTCCATACAGAAGAACACACGGATATGCAATTAAATATCTTTGCTGAGGATCACCTGACATCATAACAAAGAGTTTTGATGCTGATAAACTACTCCACATCACAGCCAAAGCTGCACACATAAATCCAACTGGACCATAGAGGGGCAAAAAAATACCCAAAACAGACAAAATAACAACAGGTAAGAGACAATAACCAAGAACTGAAGGAACAGATCCAAGTGGTATACTGCCCTCTGTAGTCATAAGTGTCAACAAAATACACATAGCAATGCAGCCTATCACAACAATTCCATAAACATAACCAAAATGAGCCTTGCTCCCAGCAAGAAACAGGCAAGCACCCAATAAAATGCACAATGCTGCAGGTCCTGCTAAATCTGTTTCATACATTATGTTCACATTAAATTTCACGTCACTGTAGAATGGATTCAAAACTGCCACACTCTTTTCAATAATCCGATCGGTATCGATCCCAAGTTCTTCAAGCAGAGGCGGTTCTTCAAACTCGCACTGCGTACCATTACGTTGGGTATCTGACGACAATTGGCCGGTATATCCATCATAAGTATCTTGACTAACCACTGATGGGTCAAAATACGAGCGACCTGAATTGTTTATATTCCCTCCTTCCATTCTCTCTGATGTTTGCAAACTTGTCCCACTGTTGTTATAACATTGGGCTGACGACAATGGGCTGGTATATCCATCATAAGGATCTTGACTAAACAGTACGGGGTCAAAATACGAGAGACCTGGAATGTTTGTACTCCCACCTTCCATTCTCGCTGTTTGTAAACTTGTCCCACTATTGTTTCCCATTTTATTAGTGTGAAACTTATAATCGCTTGGATATGGAGAATCCCATGAGAGTTTAAATTCGTTGTTTTTGTTGTGGTATTCTGCCATCTTAAGCCTTAAACACGCCACCACTAAATTAACACTTATCGACAACCAACACCGGAAGTGAACGTAGACATCAGCGCCACTATGGCAGAATCTGAAGTATCCACGTCACAGAGGGCCACAGATGATGCTGGATAATATCGGCAGACTCCTGCTGCCGTGAAACAACACCTCGAGGCGTATTCTTGCGACGTCACTTTATTACTCTTCCACGTAACTACAATTCAACGTAACGAAACACAAAGTGCTGAACAAGTAACTTCACATTCGGTCCTTTCGTGTTAACACCTCTCACTAGAATGTCGAACTGTAGATCGGTCCATATGTTGCAGGCTTTGTCTAGCACCGGCTGTTTACTCAGCCGTTGCTAAGCAGCGAATGATTTCTAGCTTGCGACTACCTAGCACACGTCTCAAATTGTTGTAGACCTTACATAGCAACGACTGTTTACTCGCCATTGCTAGCAATAGTACCTGAGATATCACTGTAGCGTTTCCGGGGTAACGTCGTTACTGCCGGCAAATAACACGCAACAACTGGTTGAGCAAACGCATATGCAGTCATGGATCATAAGTCAATGAATTAAAGGGGAAAGAAGTCTCATATCCCAACACCTGCGATCTAGGTTTAGACTATAAAACTTTCCAGCTTCACAAAACAAGTTGGATGTGCAAACTTTCAAACACACGACCTCCACCGGGTTTGAACCCGTGTACCTTGAGTCATGAGGTGTGAACGTTACCCCTAGACTACGGAGGCCGCTTTTTACAGTACTAACATCATAATTACATAGAGCCTAATCCACCACAAAGAATTTGAAATTATATGCTACAGCAAAGATAATATCTGTAGAACAAGATATTCACACTTCACTATGAAATGTTCAATTGCAGTGAAACAAGTGAATCTTCAGGTATCATCAATTACACCAGTAAACTGTGTTTAACAATACCGTACATTCCTTCACATTCCACACAAGTTTCAAGAATTTGCATCAATCCTATTAATATGCTATCAGATTCACATGAACTACTGCCAAACTTTGTCAATCCACCTTACTTCAGAGACAAAAACCTACACCAATTTAACTCCCATCTGAGAGGAAGTATAAGGTCATGTATAACAGAGAGTCCAAAGTTAAGAAGTCAGAAACACTAGAGGAGTCAGAAATAGAACTGATGTGACAGGTAGAGGATTACTAAATGAAATGGAAACATCTCTGTAAAAATCAAAAGCCCTTTCACATACACTACATGACCCAAGGAACTAGAAGTGAAGGCCATGCAGTAGATGGAAGGAGTAATTCTGAACCTTAATATGAGATTCATAGATGCCAATCCTTGTCTATAAAATAACAGAAGAATAATTTTACACTGCTAGAACAGGGAGCAAGACAATGAAAAATAATAATAAAAAATGTTTGGACTCCCATTATAATGAAGTATGACTTAAACCATATGAAGACATGCACACAGAACATAATCACTAATCATTAATGTATAGAACTAGTATGTTTAGTAAGCAAAAACATTGGAGGAGCTAACAACTACTAGGCTAACTGATGACACACTAAATACTGACATAAAATAGGCATAACATGTCACTGAGGTTTTCAGATTCCCCAGTCTCATTCAAAGCAGAAACACATACTTACCATTATCCCAGGCAGCCTCCTTGGTTTTGAGCAGTGCTGCAAGCCCAATGTTATCCTTTGGCATAACTCTGTTTAGCATATTATCTGAACCTTCAGCATTAGCCATTGCCAGTTGGTTGAATTCTACCAGATGTTCCTTGATAAGTGAAAATCTATAATTGAAGAGATATGCTGTTTATATTCATTAACCATTCATGATTCTCAGCTTTAACAGAAGACTTCAGTTACCAAATGTGTTCTGATTGTGGAATATGGAGATTAACACAGTTACATGATGGTATTTGATCACTAGACCAATTGTCTTGATGTATCGTGAATTAATTCTTACCATGTAAGTTTATGTTGTTCAATCTATAAAATTCAGATACTGATTGAAATTTCGGTTAGCCCTTTCGGTCTAAAGTCATAAATTACTGCTTAAATTCCAAGAGAAATAAAAACTTGTACAGTTTAAATGCCTGATTTGAAAATTAACATTTAAAAACAGCGTACAGTAAATGCTCTGATCAAGGAAATCAACCTGCAGCTCCTCTGTATCCCCTACATGCCAAACATCAGCAGAATATACTTCATATACAGGATGTCCCAGGAGGAATGTGCCAGACTTTGGGAGAGTGTTCCTTATGTTAAAGTATGCCGATATAACCCAAAACACCTATGCCCAAAGTTGAACGGTTACGGAGATAATGGCCAGAGAAGTGTGAAACGTTGACAGGTGTTACACACTTGTTGATTAGCAATTACATATTAAAACTGGCAGGAATATGTGGTTTCTGTAATGTTAATAATGTATGTAACATCAAACTAACTTGTGAGTGACATGAAGCCATTAAATTG